CAAGGAGTGAGGTGTAGCAGGCATAATGAGAAACACCCATAAGTTCTTTGACTGACATCTTCGAGTTTCTGGTTACTCTTTCATTTATGTCACCAATGACTTGCTCGGATAGATAGTCTTTCTGAACCCTTAAGGGAGGATCACGCCTAAGTGACACAGAACCTTCTTGAGTCGCAGGGACAATGTAGTCAGTTGATGTTTCAGCATCCCCAACAGAAGGTTCAGCTATCTCCTTGTCTGCAGAGCTCTTAACACCCTGAGTATCCTGCAATGCCTCAACATTTTAAAACTGATTAAAGGATACAAAAGAACTAACTTGAGAATTTTTTTCATCAAAGATTACATTTATGGACTCAATCAAAGTGGAGGTACTTGTGTTGTAAACACGATACGCTCGACTATTGTTAGAGTAACCAAGAAAGAATCCAATATTCGATTTTGTATCGAACTTCCAAAGTTGGACACGATCATTATAGATAAAACATTTACACCCAAAAATATGCAAGTAACTGAGGTTAGGACTCTTACCTTTCCAGAGTTCATATGAAGTCAGACCAATACCTCGACGAAGGTACACGCGATTCACGAGGTAGCATGCTGTATTGATTGCCTCAGCCCACCATTTGGAAGAAATGTTTTTGGAGTTCAACATAACTCTGGCCATTTCTTGTAGAGTGCGATTCTTCCTTTCAACAACTCCATTTTGCTGAGGAGTTTTAGGAGCTGAGAACTCGTGACTAATACCCAGAGAATCACAAAATTCAGCAAACTTAGAATTTTCAAACTCTCTTCCATGATCGCTTCGAATACTTATTATGGGAAAACCTTTCTCAGTTTGAACCTTCAAATAGAGTGACTTAAAGGCAGAGAATGTGTCAGACTTTTCACGCAAAAAATCAACCCAAGTATATCGAGAGAAATCATCAACGCACACAAAAATATACTTTTTACCTTGATAGCTTTCTACATGAATGGGACCCATGAGATCCATGTGAAGAAGCTCTAGGATCTATTTAGAAGCACTATGGTTCAGTGACTTGTGGGATGTCCTCGTATGCTTACCTAGTTGACAAGGTTCACAAATTGACTGGTCCTTCACAGCAATCTTTGGAGCACCCCTGACTACACCTGCATTGGTCAATTTGACAAGGTGAGAGTATCCAACGTGCCCTAAGCGTTGATGCCATATTTCAGGTTCGCTCACATTTGAGAAAAGGCATTTT